GTATCAATTAATCACTTGGAATAAGAGATAACCTTAATACCTTATTATCATATTATTTGAAATAAATAACTGATTAACTACCAAATGAAGTTCTTAAAGTTACTTAAGTAATTAAAATAGTTTTCTCTATTTTAATTAGCCATAGACATGCCCACAACTTAATAGATTATTTGAGCAATTCAAATAATCCACAGCTTAATAATAAGTGGCCCATAAAATAATATATTACAGGCCCGAAACTTAAGATTATTTGATAATAACAAATAATCCACATTTTAATCACAAGCCTAAAACCAAAAAAGGAAAAGCTAATATTTTCATATCCTCACAAAAGAATAAAAACCCAGACTAAAATGATTTAGTGAGATTCAGCCTGTGAATCTTCTCAAAGAAAACTCGCCTACAGCCATTTATAATCCGACAAAAAAAATATCAAGTTCTTCTTAAAATAAATCGATGCTCGCCTGACATGAGCGTCGACCTCGCCTGATTCGAGCCGAAGCTCGCCTGAATTTCGAGACTGAGTTCGCCTGTAATTAAGCTCGAAGTTTGCCTGAGCAGAGCCTGAAGCTCGCCTGAATCGAGCACAAAGCTCGCCTGAATCAAGTCGTTCGAGCTCGCCTGCAATCGAACTTGGGCTCGTCTGAAATCGAGCGAAAGCTCGCCCGATTGGAGCGTCGAGCTCGCCTGAGAAGAAGATCCACCTTGCCTGCAGAAGTTGCTGACGAGGGTTCGCCTGAATGATCTTTCGAGCTCGCCTGGAGTGAGGGTTCTCCTGCGATTGAGGTAACCGCCGCTGCCCTAACTCCCTTCACCCCTTAGGGTTTCATAATTGAACCGCCGTCGCCGCTTGGGTTGCTGCAACCTAGGGTTTCGAAAACCCTAGGTTCCTGACTGCTGATGGCCGTCGCCACTGTCGCTTAAGCTTCTACACCCTAGGGTTCTCGATTGATTTGACAGCGGGGCCGCCAGCGAATATCGTCGGCGAGGAGCTAAGAGAACAACGACCAAAAGAAATTTCTTTTGTTGTCAATTTTGAACTTGAATTCATGAATGTTTTGTAATTGATCTTAATACATGAAAGTATCCAAATCAAACAAAACAACATAATTGAACATAAAAATTACATGATACTGTTCATGCAATCAATAGACCAACCAAATCAAACAAAACAACATAATTGAACATAAAAATTACATGATACTGTTCATGCAATCAATAGACCAAAATCGACAGGAAAAAAAGAAAGCAAAATAAAAAAAAATTTTGCTACTGTTCATACGTAACCGTCCTCAAAAAACACAGATTAAGATCAAAAAATCATAATTTTAATTTTAAACTCTAAGAACAAATCACGGTGACTCTGATACCACTTGTTGAACTTTTAACCGTGATTAATTCAAAGAGAAGAATCACAAGAACGCGGAAGCATACATGAATCTATCTGAATTTGTACGGGTCTTAATCTTAGGTTTGACCTTCTAATTTAGAGGGTCTTTCTCTTAATAGTCTCTTTAGATGAGAATAAGAGAATTAGAACTCAACCCTTAGATTAGGGACCATAACCCCTTTATATAGATTTACAGTTTTTTAATTTAGCCCCTTATTAAATTAGAATTGTAATCTGGTATCTGCACAATTAGCTCATGACATATTTAAATACCCATTGACTCAATTACCTAATTGATAATTTTAAATGGTTCAGCTGTAAAGATAGCAACACACACTGATGTAACATATGTGCCCACAAATAGATTTAATCAGATTTAAATCAAACAAGAGGGGGTTGGGAACGGGATCAGAGATTTCATGGATTTTTCGGGATCAGTGTGGTCTGTATATATGTTACCACTCACAAAAGTCGGGGTTTTTTCATATCAGTTCCTCTAATTTTCAGTACTTTGAATGGAGCTCTCTGTCAGATCTTAGTCCCCAGATCTAAAAGAGTTATTTTACATTTTCACTACTCTGAAATTACTCCCTAAAACCATTTAAATTTCTATTGGGACCCTAAAATTCTATAAATTTTCTGGAATTAGTCCCTCCGTTAGGTTCTTATGTCCAGTGCACTGGTCCTGGTTGGATTAGTGATTACCCTCATTTAATGGGTTATCACGAAGATTTCATTGTCAGGAAGCCACGATCATCTAATGGGTTTGGGTCGTAAAGAGTTGAAATAAATGGGTATGTGTTTGATTTGAAATTAAGCAAAGGGTGCATTTGGCATTCTGAAGGGAAAAAATAGAATTATCTAAAAAAAAAAAATATTTCCTCCAAACTAAGTTGTAGAAAACTAGAAGGACTAATCTGAAGTAATGTATAAGATTTCAGGGACCTGGAATTAATTTCAAATTCTAGAGCAGTAAGGGGCGACTATTGAAAAGTCCTTTTCCTTTAGTACCATATTCGTCTTTTCAATACATATCATCAAAATTTCCTACACTACTATCTAAAATAGCATATGGTTGCAAATTCACGATACGTAACAGCTATTTAAGCATCGCAACTTTTCATCATCCTTTTTTATTTAATATTTAACAAGTATTCTGACTGTATTGTGACCGTTCTCATACGAGTGTGTGCTATCTTTGGCTTGCAGAAATGTTTATTTTTGTATTAATTTCATTTTTTTATGAATATGACTAGACAAATTTCTTAAAGGACAAAGAGTAGGACATAAGACACTTTTTTCCCCTTATGGATGTCAAAATTTTAGCACAACACCGCTTGAACAACTCAATTCACCTAAATGTAAAAATGCGGTAGCTTTTTTAGTTCATAAAAAATGTGGTAGTCAATAGATTTAAATAAAAGAGAGATTAATTGAGTCTATTTAACTCAAGAAGTTGAAATCTCGGTGCTCAGAAAATTACTTTGTGGAATACAAATGACAGACAATGTAAATACTTATCGAAAAGCAACTATATATTAACTAACTACATCTTACCTCACAATCCTTTTTATTCTTTGGCAGTTGCACAGAAGTTGCAATAGCACTATTGTAATTTTTAGGGCTCTATTTGTAATTTTTAGACTTTCCAGGTGGTTATTAGAATTTTTGGCATTTTCATACAGTTATTTAAAATTTTCAAAATTTCTATAAGCCTCTTTTGTAATTTTTTAGTTGTAAGGGGTTTTTTGATGCAACTTTTAGACTATTCAGGAGGCCATTTACAATCTTAGAATTTTTAAATGGTTGTTTATAATTTTTAAGTTTTATGGGTTTTTTGTAATTTTCATATTCTACAAGGATGTTTGTATTTTTTGTATTTTTAGGGGTCTATTAGAATTTTTCTAATTTTCTAGTTTTTTTAGTCATTTTGTATTTATAGAAAGGTTAATTTTTGGATTCTTCAGAGGCTTAGTTACTCGTTGTTTTGAAGTTTTTAGGAGATTGTTTGCAGTTTTTGAATTTTAAAAGTTTGTTTGCAATTGTTCATAAATTTAAACGGGCTTTTGTAATTTCAATTTTATAAATTAGGGTTTGTTCATATTTTTTTTATCTTCAGAGGGTTATTTATAATAATAGGGGGTTTAAAGATTTTTTATAATTTTTCTTTTTTAGGGGTCCATTTGAAAATTTTAGATTTTTTTAAAAATTTAAATTTTTAGGAACATTTTGCAATTTCAAAACTTTTTGGGGCCATTTTGACTTTCAGATTATCTTAGGAGAATTTTAAAATTTTCGTACTTTTAAGAGGTTTTCTGTAAGTACGTATCATATCTTTCTAAGGTTTGTTTGTAATTTATAAATTTTAATGGGCTTGCAAATTCAATATGTTTCAAGGCTGTTTGCATTTGATATAGCTTTTTTGTAATTTTTGGATTTTTTATGAGGGTCTTTGTAATTTTTTCATTTCAAAGGTTGTTTTGTAATTTTTAGATTCCTTTATTTAAATATAATTTTTTCATGTGTACAATTTTGCATATATAAGTTTTTTTATGGTTGCATATATAATTTTATGTAGAGAGACTCCTTACATGAATTATTTTCATGTGTAATTATAATTTTAATAATATTTTTGTGCATAGTATAACCGTCGTCGTTTGACCCTCCATCGAGCCATGTGAAAAGTTCTATTCATTCAAAACCGTTAAAATTGATACGAGTGGATGAAGGGTCAAACGACGACGGGTTCACCTCAAACTTGGTGTGTTGGAGTTTTAGAATATGTAGATCAAGTTCAACGGAGCGGATCATCCACAATGTCGCTCAATCATGTGATTTTAGAGGCGTCATAGGAGGAAATCCCCTCCTATGACAAGGATACCCATTAATCTCTATATATATATATATATATATATATATATACAACTATTAAATGCTAATAATTTTCCACATATCAGGTCATCATGCATATCATTTATCAAAATTTTGCACTTATCAGGTACACGTTTCCCTCTATATAAAAACAAAATGCAAATAATTTATTTTTAACTACAACTAGGCTAAAGAAAGAAAATACAGATGACAAACCCAGGATTACGCGTTAGACAGAAGATTCATATATTACTCTGTTTCGAGTGCATTCGAGTCCAGACCGCCGGTTTGGAAGCAAATACCAGTTCTACAACCAGAACTATTTTCATTGATCTCCTCTCCACTTTTCTGTGAATGAAATCAGTTGTTGAAACAAAATGGACACAATCCCTTGGACACAATCCCAACCATACCCCCTCACCTGCTATAGTGCAGAGGGGCCCACATGAGATTTAAAAAAAAATCCCATGTGAGGCCCTCCTGCACTGTAGCAGGTGAGGGGGTGTGGTTGGGATTGTGTCCAAAGGTGTGTCTAGGGTTACATTCTCTAATTCTCTTCACCCCCATCTAGAGAGAGAAATTCGGCTATAGAGAAACCCTAAGGTTAGAAGACCCAAAACCCAAATCAAGTTTTCATCTATGGATTCAGGTATAAGCTTCCGCTCTTTTGATTCTTGTTAATCTCTTCGAATTAATCATGGCTTTATGGTTTTAGATCTCAAGTTTTATGATTCAGATCTAACATAATACGCATGTTATACAAATACAACATCATTACATATATAAAAATACACGACAAGGGCATACATTGTATGCTGAGAAATCGACCTCATTATTTAGTTTGCATCTTCCATCAAGCTCCCCTTATCATAAATCAGTACAGAAACCTCTAGTGGCCAGTTCTCTGCTGTTCCCAGCTAAGATCCTCCGATAACTGCATAATAGCAGCCCTTGGGTCACCATTGGAGACGGACAGATAGTATTCTGCAGTTCCATCATCCACATTCATGCTTCTTTTCACCGACTCGAGAAGGATTCTACTTCTGCCTCTTCGTTCAGTAGCAGACACCGTAGAGGGAGTAGCAGCATCCTTAAGAGAGGGTATTTGAGGACAGCCGTCTTTATCAAGATATAGAACTGCAACTTCTCGCTTTGCATGAGCATCCAACTCGATACAGCATGTGCTATTGCTGAGAATCTCTGGTTTATTGATGCTGATGGGGATGAGAAGCCTCTCTCTTGAGTAGATACCATGCTCACTCATCATATTGTTCAATCGTTTTATATCCACCACCTGGACATACCAAGCATATAAATTCAGCGTTACAATCCAAAAAAGGAAAAAGAATTGGGATGAATACTGAAAACGATGATAATAGCAATCTTATTCTAACTTATCAACTTGGGATTTGAATTCCCCTTCACTGCCAAAAAAGTACTGGAGAAAGCAACTTTTAATCATAACCATCTATAGTTTAGTTGACAGCTGTTTGAGTAAAAGTAGGAATGAATCGCGTACATGGAGTACACAGCAACTGTAAAATTTCCAATAAATCGCAACTGTCTACAATATAGTGAACAGTTGTTATTAAAAATAGTGGTTTCTCTGCTACATTTTTGCACTAGCAGGATCAACAACTAGCTGCAGAAATTTGAATATGGGAGGAAGAAAGTTTTAAAACCGATAAAGGAACCGATAAGAATAGAGGCAGAGAGCAGAAGCAGGAGGATTGTGTTCAGTGGAGTAAGTGGTGTTTAACGGTAAGCATTGCTAAAGAAACAAAAGTCCTACAGGATGGTAAAGGCAACATGACGCAGCGCGGAAGTGATAACCTCGGAATCCACCAAGGGTGTTCTCTGAAACCACAAAGAACGATCTTCGAATCCACGAAGAACTTCGAATCCACGAAGAAAATATTAAAAAAGAGAAATTTTATTGATGAAAAGTTATTCTCCTTTGGGGTTACATGACTCTTCTTAAATAGAAAAACAAATAAGATTCCTAGTAAGACTTAGAATTACAAAAATAGAAAGTATCAAATAAGACTCCCAGTAAGACTAGAATTATAAAAAAAAGAAAGTGTCAAATTCTATCCTAAAAAGACTCCTTATAATAGAGGAAACAAATCATGAATCAAAATTGATTTTGTTTCCTAATCTAATTTGACTCTAAAATTAAATTTATTTTGATTTTGTTTCCTAATCTAATTTGACTCTAAAATTAAATTTATTTCCTAATCTATATTTCCTAATCTATATTTCCTAATCTAAATAGACTCCAACTTAGATTAAGCGTCCTACATCACAACAGCAAGAAATTAACCTCAATCGTACGAAAGCTGAATGAGCTGAATTCTTTCTCAAGTTGAGACGAACCTGAATTCCACAAGCGGATGAAAAAAAATGAGAGAAATTGGTTTCTAAGCATCCTTCGGAACGTCTTATACCCACAACTTCAATCCCTGTGGGCATGCCCTCAACATCTTAATTTTTTTTTGTGTAGGCATCTACATAGAAAATAAATTAAGCAAAATATCGAAAACAAACTTAGCAACTTGTTGAAATCTATTCCCAGCCTCTAACATTATAATGAAATGATGAATTCTCATCAATTTTCCCCTCCTATCGAAACATGCTCAAGAAAGGCATAAATTTAACTGAATTAGTTTTCCATTCAATATTACAACAACCAGCGCTTGCTAATTTAACAAACCGACCATCTTGAAATAATCTCACAGAGCATATGCTTATCAAAAAAGAAAAAAAAAACATAAATAATTAAACCCTATTTCATCCAAACATAAAAAAGAGGGATGAAAATAGAATGATAAATGAGAAAGACCCAAATTCATCCAATCACCCACCAAAAAAATAAAAATAAAAATAAAAATTTTACCTGCACGGAATACTTAAGGGCGAGTCCAGCGACGGAATCACCCCGCTGCAAGCGGTGCGAGATGGCGAACCGATCGAGGCCGGGACTCCTCCAGAACGCCGCCGACGACGGGGTCCCCATCACGCGCTTGACGTTCCACGGTTTCCTGAAGGCGAGCTCCAGCAGCTCGCGGTCGGAGGCACGACGGAAGCGCCAGAAGCGGCAAGATGACCGCAGCGGCCGCGGGCCGACGGCGTCGGTGGCGAGGCTGGGGAGGGCTCCAGGATCGAGCGGAGGATGTCGCCGGAGAACCCGGAGTTCATCGCGGAGAGGACCGGGATCGAATCAATTGGGAGAGAGAGGGGGAGTGGGAACGGGATGAGGGATTTCATGGATTTTTTGGGATCAGTGTGGTCTGTATTTATGTTACCACTCACAAAAGTAGGGGATTTTTCATATCAGTCCCTCTAATTTTGAGTACTTTGAATGGAGCTCTCTGTCAGATCTTGGTCCCCAAATCTAGAAGAGTTATTTTACATTTTCACTACTCTGAAGTTACTCCCTAAAACCATTAAATTGCTATTGGAACCCTCAAATCCTATAAATTTTCTGGAATTAGCCCCTCCGTTAGATTCTTATGTCCAGTGCACTGGTCCTCCTGGTTGGATTACTTATTACCCTCATTTAATGGGTTTAGAACGAAGATTTCACTGTCAAAAAGCAATGATGATCTAATGGGTTTGGATCGTAAAAGAGTCGTTGAAATAAATGGGTATGTGTTTGATTTGAAACTAAGAAAAGAGTGCATTTGGCATTCTGAAGGGAAAAAAGAAGAATTATCTAAAAAGAAATATTTCCTCGAAACCAAGTTGTAGAAAACTAGAAGGACTAATCTGAAGTAATGTATAAGGTTTCAGGGACCTGGAATTAGTTTGATTATTCAACAGCCAAATTTCAATTTCTAGAGCAGTAAGGCTGCGTTTGGTAAAGGGTTAAGGAAGAGGGATTAAGGAAAATGATTAACTTAGTTAATCCATCATGAAGGGTTAAAAATATTCTTATTCCGTTTGGATTCGATAGTTAAGACAATGTGTTAAGTCTTTTGTGTTTGGCAAATGAAGAAGGGTTAAGGAGATTAATCTCATTATTTTTTTAAAAAATACCACTTTCGTCCTTACTGAAAATTTATAAATAATTGCCTCATTAAAATAAAAAGAACTTGAATTTATGTAAAGTTGACTATAAATGATTGTTCAGAAGGTAAAATTATCATTTTCACTTCATTTCAAAAGCTAAAGAGAGATAATGAGCTAACAAAATATTATATGGCTGCTTATCTATCAATAAACCTGGCAAAATAGATTTGATTATTCAAGGGAAAAAATCTACTCAATAGCTCCATATATAATTATAAAATTTTCTCATATAAAGATAATAAAAAGACATAATTCAACCTCCTTATACTTTAATAATTGACAACTACATACATCAATTATTCCAAAGCTGTAGAGCAATCCTGTTGTGAAGCTGCTCACCCCTTAAACTTTCATCTGCACCAACCATATATTGGGATTCTCTCGAATCTTAGGATGAACGTCTATGTCAGCCGTAGGAAGTTGGATATACTCTTGTTTCAAAGATAATATAGCATTAAGCACATTATTAAAATGCCTACTAATAGTCTCTCCTGAATGTTGAAATATCTCAGCTAATACTCGATTTGAAAGGGCATGTGAAATTCCGTATAAAAATATACATAGTTGTTCATTGCAGCTTAAATATCTAGTTGGCCTTAAAGCATTCTTGTCAAGTAGAACATTTTTTAGCAAAAGAATTGCCTCAGAACTCATTCGGAAGCAAGAATATGAACGATAAGAATGTCCAGCCAACATATCTTCTACAAGCATATGACCAGAGAATGGCCTAGTTCGACATGGCCGAGGTACTTGCTTCATCACATTCGATTGATTAATGACACTTGTAATCATCTCGTTCCACATGTACTCATCCTCATCTTCATCATTCAAAAGCAACGCCTCTATAAGATCATTTTCATAAAAGCAACGCCTCTATAAGATCATCTTCATCATCAAGTGCTTCAATATCGCTTGCAATATCTTCAAATGAATTCATCTTCAATCAAATTATAAACAAAAAAATCATTCAATTTGTTGTAAAGAATGGAGCTTATAATCACATATAAAAATAAATGCAATCAGCAATAAAAACAATGTATGCTATGTTGATGAATATGGATGATTATAGAATCAGACTCCAAGCATAAAAAAACCTAGGATTATATAATCAGACTCCTATTCTTATTTGCCTCCAGCATCTACCAATGGGCTTCAAATTTATGAAGCACAATGAACAATTAATACAAAAAATAATTAATCCTAATCACACTTAACATTGCGTAGGAGTTCATCCCGGTTCATATGTTACTAAAAACAAAGTGGACAATATTTAGCCTATTATTCCTCAAAATTGTTCAAAATTTTCTGTTGCAAGCTCAAATTGAAGAGATCTGCTAGAGTTAAGGACCCTAAACAAGCTAACTGAACCCATATTAACAGACTAGAACATGGCCATCCTCACCCTTCATTTGTCCATTTCACACACAATGGCAGTGTTACAACCTAGCGACAAACCAACTAGTTAAAACCTCCGAATATTGACAGAAGCATCCTATGAGAGAAACTGGCAACATAAGCCTGAAAAATTGAACATATAAAAGGATTGTGAATAAAATATCAGTAACCTGCCTGCATCTAAGGAAAAGCACTAGAACTAAATGGCAAAACAGGATTGTGAATAAAATATCAGTAACCTGCCTGCATCTAAGGAAAAGCACTAGAACTAAATGGCAAAACATTTTAAGTATGGACCTCAGACCCATTTTAAATAACAGCCCAATCAAGCAAGGGGTATTAGTCAATGTATTCTTGTTTTTGATGAACTAAAATATGTCACTAGACATTAGGACAAATAACCTCTTTGCAAATAGACAGTCTCATATCATACACATCTGTAACAAATAATATAGAGTAAACTTTTGTCCATGTCTTGCAATTTCAGATAAATCTCTAGCTGAATACGACAGCCATTATATTTAAAAAAACGATACGTGACTAAACCAGAAAATTAGATGAGGAGAAATGCTCAAAAACTGAAATAAGATGACTGCAACCAAACCCTTTCAGATCAATATTGGCCCCGTGGTGGTTATATCATGCTACCAAATGAAAACCACATTCACTTTCTTTAGCTCACTATAATTGTACCTAATAGCATCTTAAAGACCATGAAAATGAAGATTTTCTAATGTTCTCTAAACCAAACAATCAATACTCTAATGATGTTCCAAGCATGACACTATAACTGATAGCCTTAGACCTCACCTAAGTTCCCTCACGAGTCTAAAATTTTCATCTACACCATTCAGTAAACATTAGCATAATTAGAGAGCATCTTCAGCAAACATGATGGCCCAAATTTTGCTCTCGTTTAACTTTAAGCATAATGCATGTTTGCTCAAAACCAACCTTCCACCAAATATCTTAGAAAGCCATCCACCAGGTATGACTCAAGGCGTAGCCCCAAAAGAAAGAAGACCGGACAAGGCCGACAGTCGAGGAGTTCCACCCAAACTTTTGTCCATGTCTTGCAATTTCAGATAAATCTCTAGCTACTGGCGCATCTGGGAATAAAGCATTTGAAGCTACAGGTCATGGACCTGGGAATAAAGCATTTGAAACAACAAGCTAAATCTGATAACGACAAAGGGTCTTAGCAAGCACAAAAGCTATTGGGTGGAGCAAGGTTGTTCCATTCAGTAAACATTAGCATAATTAGAAAGCATCTTCACAGGCATTTGATCTAAAGTTCGGCATATTTCATTGGCCCAAGGAGAGGCATCAATAAAACAAAAGTCTTCTTTGTGGCTCAAACCTTATCCTCATTTAACATTGAAATAAAATATTGACATGTAAAAACAAAAGTCTTCTTTGTGGCTCAAACCTTATCCTCATTTAACATTGAAATAAAATATTGACATGTACAAATGCATAATGAAAAGTCACCTATCTTCAAGTGCATGTATAAATGCATAATGAAACAGACATTTCCTATGTATACTAAGAACCCCATTATTTTTACAAGCTGCAAACATATCAATATTTAGGACTGAAATAAAATATTGACATGCTTAAAAAAGTTTGTACTAAGCATATATAACCACGACCACAACCTAGCTAACATCAGCCAGACAAAAGTTTCATCTCACGGAAGTTGCAAACGAACTAGAAATCACCTAAAATTCATTGAAGTAAGAAAATGTTGCAATTAAACAAACTTTCAAGTTATCAACAATAGGCTAATGCATTCAATGAACTGTAACATTATGAAAACAAGCTGCTCGCATTTCAACATGTAAACTTCAAGAAATTCAAGAACTGATTGACATTGATAATTCATAGAACAAATTACATGAGCAAAAATCATAAGAACAAACTGCTAATGGAACTAAGCCACACAACCACTATCTAATAGGGATGTACTATATTGATGTTGGTATCATTGGCAAGCCCATCATTCAGAAAAACCACTTACATCCTACCTCATTCAGTCTAGCATGTATTATGTATGGCTTATTGTTGACCTAAGTCTTTCTCAATTGACATTTTTTTAATCATTTCCAGAATTCCTACTAAGCATATTCTTCTTTTACTTGAATAAAGACCTTTTTCTTAAGACTGTAATCTGTTATATAACCACTTTCCGTATCATTTCATTCCCTTCCACGAAATATCCAACTTTTCGACAGACCCTTTGACGGGGAAAGGAAAGAAACTAGGTGGTAATTTGTGACAAAGTTCTTGCTCCTTAGGTCCTTCCACATCATTCTATTTCCCCCCCACTTTCAATTGCCCATCGGAAAAGTACTCCCTTTTGTCAGTTTATCATTTCATCCTTATCTTTACTCTACAAGGTTTAGCTCCTTTTAAACCCAAAAAATAACCTACCTTGGGATGCATTTTGTAAGCAAAAATTTGCTAGAAATCTTAAGCATCAGGATTATTCCTACCATACTACACTGAACTTAAATTGTATGCTTCTCTTTAACCCCAAGCCTAAAGAAAATATTATAGTCATCCTGAACTGGAATCAAAATGAGATACTAAAATCAATCCAAAATCTCAACCCAAGCAGATTATTCATTATTGTACAGAAAATGTGTAGGCATATAAAATTGCTTATAGGTCCCTTAACACGGCTCAATACGAACTAATGAACCATCGGGCGACGTATCCAAGCACGAACGTCAGTCCACAACACCGAAGCCAAGTGACACGCAATGAAGCGGATTAACAAGGCTACGAAGCTGACGAACCGCACGTGAACGACGGAATGAATCCACTCGCGTGCGGAATCAAACCAACGGTCCAGAGAGTCAACGAGTCATCCAACCATATAACGGATTCGAACTCAGACACCAAAGCCGATTTACTGCCTAATCGGGATCCAGACTTCCAAATCAGGAATCAAGTCAACAAATAGATGTCAGACCAATCAACCGCATAACCGAATCACAGACGAAGCGGATACAAGGACCGAAACAACCGAACGACGGACGCAAAGCCCGGAGTGGCTCGGCCAAGGCCGAGCCACCCTGGGGGCTCGCCTAAAGCCAGCTACCTGGGGTGGACTCGACCCAAGGCCGAAGCCACCCTAGGGGCAGCGGGCAGGCGCGAGTGCCTACCCTAGGGTGTCTCGGCATGAGCGCGACCAGCGACGCTGAAGGCTGGCCACCCAGATCTGTGCCAAATGCACAGATCTGGTTGCCTATAAATAGGCGGGGTCATTCATCATTTTAGAGGACTTTTGGGAAGAACTTTTGGAGAGCCGAAACTCTGCCGGATTGAGACCTCATCTTGGAGTTTTTGAAGGCTTGAAGACTTGGACGTCCAGATCTGATTCTTGGCGAGCACCCGCATCACAAAAGGCAGGAGTTCGAGGGGATCGAGATCTCAGATCTACGTTGTTACACTCCGGATCAAAGCTTGGTCTTTGATCCCGAGATTCGAGCGATTGTTTCCTTGGTGAAATAATCCCTCCGGCTATTATTTCCTTGGTGAAATAATACCCGTTATACTGCGTAGATCTGCTCGGATCTAGATCGCGCGGTGGTCCACGGCAAACAACCCCGGCGCAGGCAAACAACCCACCAAAGCGAGCGACCACAAAACAGGAGCTCGTGATTCGTTCGACAAAAGAGAAAGAGTTGTAATTTTTCTTTATTTTTCTTTGATTTTCATTGTAACCGGATCTTATAAAAAGACCGGATCTTTGTAATCGATAGACTATTACAAGAGTGTACAATGGAATCATTAATGAAGAAAGCAACGAATTTCCCCGCGAACCTCAGGAAGCCCGTAGAAAGCTGCAAAAGGAGGTGGAGAAGAAGCCACCACCAACACGACAAGTCTGGAAGCCTAAGTCTGAAGTGGCGACTCAGGCCAAAAAGCAACCAGTGCAGCCTTCTAAGGAAGGTCAAACTCCGGCGAGTCAACCAAAGTCGCCGTCAATCCCAATAACTTCTCCGGGAGATCATGCAGAGTCATCCCGCAAGAAGAAACCAATTTTGGAGCGCCTCGGTCCAATTCCTGACGTGAGAGGCAAAGCTCCAATTCACGAGCGTTTGGGCCCGATGAAGAAGCCCAGAACGACTCAACATACTGGGGGTCGCCATCACCTCCAGCATGACAAAGACCTCAAGGCAGCTGCGCGCACCAATTTGCGCATTGAAGTCCAAGATCACGCCGAAAATTCACGCCCAAAAAGGCATGTTTTGAGGCGGGTAACCTTTGAAAGCCCAAAGAAGGCAAGTCAACCTCAGATGGAAACATTATCATCTGATAATGATTGTGTTGTACCTGAGAAGGCGTGCCCGCACACGATAGGTTACTCTGACTGTCAAAATGACGAGTTGTACTATCGT